TCAATAAAGTCTATGATTGGTTCGAAGAACGTCCTATTAATAAATATGTTTATTATGGATGGTGATTTAAAATCAAAAAATATTCATTAAAAAAGAACAATATACTAGTGGTAGTGGAGTGTGGATATATATAAATGTGTATTCGATAGGGGATAGGATCCTGTGTAGTACGATTTCTAGAAAAATGGTATGAATGAGAGCTCAATTATTCTTTCTGGTTTAAGTTCAATTACTTTGTCTGATCCATAAAAAGAATGTACAGATATTCAATTCAAGGAATATCGGGGGTTGTAGAAGTGCGGATTGGTTTTTTATTTTTCTTATTTAGTGAGCATCTTGTATTTCATAAAAATTTGGGGCGATATAATCTTTACGTAAAGGCCATCCTAGCCAACTTTCGGGCATTAAAATACGTTTCAGACGCGGATGATTATCATAAGAGATTCCCAACATATCATAAGATTCCTTTTCTTGAAAATCCGCACTTTTCCAAACCCAGAAAATCGAAGGAATTCTAGGATTTTTTCTTGCAACAAATACTTTTATGCATATCTCTTCGGGTTGATTTATACCATATTCTATTCTCGTAAGATGATACACACTAGCTAACAGTCCCCCTGGTGCTACATCATAGGCACATTGGGAACGTAGATAATTGTAACCATATACATATAAAATGACAGCAATGGAATGCCAATCTTCGGGCTTTATTTGTAAAGTCTCTATTCCTTGGTAATCGAAACCCAAAGATCTATGAATTAGTCCATGTTTGACTAGCCAAGCAGACAAACGACCTTGCATTTTTTGACTTCTCCTGTATTTTTTGTATAAGTTTGGTATTAGTTTTTCCCATTTACATTACGATACAATTTTTAAATGGAATTGCTATTTAATTTATTATTGTATTTTAAACAAAAGGATCCTGTCTAATTCACTGCTTCGTGGGAGGATACTGAATTTTTTTTTTTTTTAATGTGTCAGAGGGTATCTCCAAAGTAGATGCCGGTTGATAGAATAATCCTTGACCGTAATTGCTAGTATAAGTACTGCATCCAACATGAAACTTGTGATTGGTAGTAAAACACCTATTCTCTCGTTGAGAACTCATTTTATCTTCATAGATTTCTCGAGATATTTTCTTACGAAGTTTTGTTATAGCATCTATAATGGCTTCTGGTTTAGGTGGACAGCCTGGCAAATACACATCTACAGGAATTAGCTTATCCACGCCCCGAACAGTACTATAAGAATCAGTACTGAACATCCCCCCCGTAATTGTACAGGCTCCCATAGCAATAACATATTTTGGTTCGGGCATTTGCTCGTATAATCGAACTAAAGAGGGAGCCATTTTCATAGTTACTGTGCCCGCTGTTAAAATTAAGTCTGCCTGTCTAGGACTCGATCGTGGTACTAATCCATAACGATCAAAGTCGAATCGTGATCCTATTAATGAAGCAAATTCAATGAAACAACAACTGGTACCATAAAGAAGCGGCCATAAACTGGATAGTCTTGACCAATTTGAAAGATCATTTAATGTAGTTGAAATAACTGAATTTTTGGTTGTTCGATCAAGTAAGGGAAACTCAATGGAATTCATAACTGTCTCAATGTTTTTTTTATTGTCTAAATAGTCAAGAATTAAGACCATTCTAATGCCCCCTTTCGCCATGCATAAACTGAACCAACAATTAGGATAAGCACGAATATGAAAGCTTCTATAAATACGGATACTCCTAATACATCGAAACTCATTGCCCATGGATAAAGAAAAACTGTTTCAACATCAAAAACAACAAAAACGAGAGCAAACATATAATAACGGATTCGAAATTGTAACCAGGAATCGCCTATTGGTTCTATTCCCGATTCATAACTAGAAAGTTTCTCTGGTCTTTTGCTAATCGGGGCTAAAATTCCAGAAATTAGAAATGCCAAAATAGGAATAAAGCTTGATATTATTAGAAATGCCCAAAAAATATCATATTCGTAAAGCAGAAACATAAATGACTCCTATGAATGTGGAAAATATACTGGGTTAGTATTAATTATTAGTCGATTTGAATGAAAATTGGAGAATGATTATCCTATTAATGATTATTATAGTAATGAATATTTATAGAATAATAAATATGAAATATATTCTAAATAGAAATGCTTTTTCTAAAATAAATAAAAAAAAATTAAATTATTTCCAAAAAAAATGAGACTAGTATTCGAATATACTAATATTAGTATTATTTTATCAAATATTAATATATCCTTAATAGAAATTTAAGAATTCTTTCTATTCTATTACTAATACTACTAGTAATATTTAGTAATAGTATTAGTAATGAGAGATATTGGATACTAAATATTATTAGTATCCGTAGAAATATTAGGGCTATACGGACTCGAACCGTAGACCTTCTCGGTAAAACAGATCAAACTGATTATTATCGAAATGATTTGAATTGTTTTAAAAACCCAACGTGCATTTTTTTCTTGCATTGGGCTTTTTCATTAACTGATAGAAATAACAGTTAGTCCACTATCTTTTTTCTTGACAGAAAGAATAAAGATATGATTCCTTGTGCTCTGATTTTTGATTTGGATTACAATCTAAGAGCACTACCAAAGTGTTTCAAAGAAGGGTTATCCTGACATAGGTCTGCTTCTAGCCTAGATCAACTTAAGTTAAATGGATTCTCTATCTACCCACTAAAATGAAAATATCAAATAGGAAATGAAACTTCATACACCTTAAAGTTCATAAGATAGGAACAAAGGATAATTTTATTTGAGGTTCCTATACCCATTATGCTTAGCATTGAAGAGGAGTGAGTATTGACCTTATCAATATCTCAAATCAATAATGGATTCTATTTTACGTCTAAATCCTTTGTCAGGCTTTTGTTCTCTTGTTCCTTAAAATGGAGTAAGACATGGATTTATTAATAATAAGATAAACTCTTTTGATTACAAGACGGACTCCTCTGAAAAAAAACATTGGCGCGCGTGTAAACGAGGTGCTCTACCTAACTGAGCTATAGCCCTTGTGCTTTTAATACATATTTTATCATATTATGTAGATAATTTCTTGTCAAGATGAATATTACATGATCCAATCCCTTTGATATTGCGTTGGTATTGCTTATAAGTAATATTCGATTTATAATCTATTGATCTGATCGATAGAGACTCTTTTTTTTTTTTTCTATTTGGGGTGATAAATGACCTACTTAACTCAGTGGTTAGAGTATTGCTTTCATACGGCGGGAGTCATTGGTTCAAATCCAATAGTAGGTAAGGTATAGTTAGAACTTATTAGATACCAGAGTCAATGGTATCTAATAAGTTGTTCTATTCACCTTTTTTCTATCTTTTCTTACTGTTTTATTGAATTTTTATTTATTTCTTTTTTTAGAATTATTCGGACGTACCAACTTGTTACGAAATCATATTGATAGCCTCTACTCGTGTTCTAGCTCGTCTGAGAGCTAGATTTGCCTCAATTGTTTGTCTCTTGCCTTCAGCCTTATTCAAATTAGCTTCTGCTATTTCAAGAGTTTGCTGTGCTTCTTGTGGATCAATGTCACTACCCTTCTCCGCATCATTTACTAAGACAGTGATCTCATTATTGCCTATTCTAGCAAAACCGCCCATGAGAGCCATCGTTAACCATTGGTCGTTAAGGCGTATTCTCAAAATACCTATATCTACAGCTGTGGCAATAGGCGCATGATTTGGTAATACTCCAATTTGTCCGCTATTCGTAGATAAAATGATTTCCTTCACTTCTGAATCCCAAACAATTCGATTGGGGGTCAGTACACAAAGATTTAAAGTCATTTCTTCAATTTGCTCTCCATTTCTAAATTCACAGCCTTCGCAGTAGCTTCATCGATATTACCCACTAAATAAAAGGCTTGTTCAGGAAGACCATCTAATTCTCCAGAAAGAATCAATTTAAACCCTCTAATTGTTTCTGCTAGACCAACATATTTCCCCGGCGAACCGGTAAATACTTCTGCTACGAAAAAGGGCTGTGATAAGAAACGTTCAATTTTTCGTGCTCTTGCTACGGTTAAACGATCCTCCTCGGATAATTCATCCAACCCAAGGATAGCTATAATGTCCTGAAGTTCTTTGTAACGTTGTAAAGTTTGTTTAACTCTTTGTGCAGTTTCATAATGTTCTTCACCAACGATCCGAGGTTGGAGCATAGTTGACGTTGAATCTAAAGGATCCACTGCTGGATAGATACCTTTGGCCGCTAATCCTCTTGATAGTACAGTAGTAGCATCTAAATGTGCAAATGTCGTGGCAGGAGCAGGATCGGTCAAATCGTCTGCAGGTACATAAACTGCTTGAATAGAAGTTATGGACCCTTCTTTGGTAGAAGTAATTCTTTCTTGTAAAGAACCCATTTCAGTACTAAGGGTGGGTTGATAACCCACAGCAGAGGGCATTCGACCCAATAAGGCAGATACTTCAGATCCTGCTTGGACGAAGCGGAAGATATTGTCAATAAATAGAAGTACGTCTTGCTCATTGACATCTCGAAAATATTCCGCCATAGTTAGGGCAGTTAAACCAACTCTCATACGAGCTCCGGGCGGTTCGTTCATTTGACCGTATACTAGAGCTACTTTTGATTCTGCAATATTTTGTTCATTAATTACTCCGGATTCTTTCATTTCCATGTAAAGATCATTTCCCTCACGAGTACGCTCACCTACTCCGCCAAATACGGATACACCTCCATGAGCTTTGGCAATGTTATTGATCAATTCCATAATGAGTACCGTTTTACCTACACCAGCTCCACCGAAAAGTCCTATTTTTCCTCCACGGCGATAAGGGGCTAAAAGATCTACTACTTTTATTCCTGTTTCAAAAATGGATAATTTTGTATCTAATTGTATAAAGGCAGGCGCAGATCTATGAATAGGAGATGTTGTGCGAGTATCTACAGGACCCAAATTATCAATAGGCTCCCCAAGTACGTTGAAAATTCGTCCTAGAGTTGCTCCGCCGACTGGAACACTTAGAGGAGCTCCCGTGTCAATCACTTCCATTCCTCTCATTAGACCATCTGTAGCACTCATAGCTACAGCTCTAACTCGATTATTTCCTAATAATTGTTGTACTTCACAAGTCACGTTAATTTGTTGACCAACAGTATCTCGACCCTTAACTACCAGAGCGTTGTAAATATTAGGCATCTTCCCTGGGGGAAAAGCTACATCTAGTACTGGACCAATTATTTGGGCGATACGTCCCAGATTTTTTTTTCAAGCGCAGAAACTTCAGGACTAGAAGTAGTAGGATTTATTCTCATATAAAAATATATCCATTTTTTTTTCGAATAATTTTGAAATCAAAAATAAATGTTCAATAACAAAGCAAGTTGATCGGTTAATTCAATAATAAATAAGAAATGGGAGTTAGTACTCTATTTTCTTGGTACCATCCAACCAATCCAATTTAATTGTTTACTTATTCAATTTCAATATTCAATTTCAATGATTGAATTTTCTAGTTTACCCAAGTCATTTTGAAAATTTCAATTGGATCAAATCTTTTGAAAGTCTTTCATTTGTCTATAATGATAGACAATACCATCTATATTCTCTATCGAATTCGAACCTGAACTCTCTTTACGATTCATTTTTTCTATCTCATTGGCTTTCCTTCCTATTTCATCAGCAGACGATTTATACCTAGCATATTTTTTTACCTATTTATTTCCCCCTTTTCGAGGGGGAAGTCTGTCTATTTTTACATCTAGGATTTACATATACAACATATATCACTGTCAAGGTCAAGAGTGAATTTTATATTATTTAGATTAGGTATTTCGATTCAAAAATAAAAACAAATAATAAAAAAGGGATAAGAGATTCGAAATTTGAAAAAAAAAAACAAGGATTGGGTTGCGCTATACATATGAAAGAGTATACAATAATGATGTATTTGACAAATCAAATACCATGGTTTAATAACGAACTTTTCGGATTAATTGATAATATTTGTTGATTATTTGTGAAAGATTCTTGTGAAGTGAAATATTTTATTAACTCCTAAGTCATGTCGAGTAGACCTTGTTGTTTCGAGAATTCTTAATTCATGAGTTGTAGGGAGGGATTTATGTCACCACAAACAGAGACTAAAGCAAGTGTTGGGTTCAAAGCTGGTGTTAAAGATTATAAATTGAATTATTATACTCCTGACTATGAACCAAAGATACTGATATCTTGGCAGCATTCCGAGTAACTCCTCAACCCGGAGTTCCGCCTGAAGAAGCAGGTGCCGCGGTAGCTGCCGAATCTTCTACAGGTACATGGACAACTGTGTGGACCGATGGGCTTACCAGTCTTGATCGTTACAAAGGACGATGCTACCACATCGAACCCGTTGCTGGAGAAGAAAATCAATATATTGCTTATGTAGCTTATCCCTTAGACCTTTTTGAAGAAGGTTCTGTTACTAACATGTTTACTTCCATTGTAGGTAATGTATTTGGGTTCAAGGCCCTGCGCGCTCTACGTTTGGAGGATTTGCGAATCCCTACTTCTTATATTAAAACTTTCCAAGGTCCGCCTCATGGCATCCAAGTTGAGAGAGATAAATTGAACAAGTATGGCCGTCCCCTATTGGGATGTACTATTAAACCTAAATTGGGATTATCCGCTAAGAATTACGGTAGAGCGGTTTATGAATGTCTCCGCGGGGGGCTTGATTTTACCAAAGATGATGAAAATGTGAATTCCCAACCATTTATGCGTTGGAGAGACCGTTTCTTATTTTGTGCCGAAGCACTTTATAAAGCACAGACTGAAACGGGTGAAATCAAAGGGCATTACTTAAATGCTACTGCAGGTACATGCGAAGAAATGATGAAAAGAGCTGTATTTGCCAGAGAATTGGGCGTTCCTATCGTAATGCATGATTACTTAACAGGGGGATTCACTGCAAATACTAGCTTAGCTCATTATTGCCGGGATAATGGTCTACTTCTTCATATCCATCGTGCAATGCATGCAGTTATCGATAGACAAAAGAATCATGGTATGCACTTTCGTGTACTAGCTAAAGCGTTACGTTTGTCTGGTGGAGATCATATTCACGCTGGTACCGTAGTAGGTAAACTTGAAGGGGAAAGGGAGATCA